CGAGTACCCCCCCCCCCCCTTCCCTTTGTACGTGCGATAGATATAGGTTCGACCGACCACTTCCTCATATGGGCAAACATCGACCGTTCAGAAAGATGGAGAGTTAGAAACAGAGTGAACGGAAAACTACGCGGGGTGCAGCAGGCCCGTCCTGGGCGTTACTTGGGGCACTGGGTAGTCGGCCGTGTTAGGCCGAGAGAAAGAGGTGGAGACAGATATGGAGAGAGAGTGGGAGAAGTCAACTTGATTGGAGAGAGACGGCGGTAGTGGTGGATAGAGAGAAGGAAGATGGAGTGGTCAGCGTCTAGTCCTATGGTGTAACCTTATCTTATAATAGATATACGCTCAGCTCATTATCACCCGGCAGGATCACTTGGCTTTCTATGGCTTGAGATTGAGAGCAGGGATCTCCGGGGACGGATCAAGCCCTGAATCGGGTATCCTTATCTTACACAGAGGAAAGTGTTCCGGTGGAAAGTGGAGCGTTTCGGAGACGAGGGGACACGGGATGAAATCCAGAAGGGACTGGCTGGTAGTGTAGAACCCTTCAGGAAACTGCTGAGAAGCGTCGAAGACGGACAGGTAGACGTACAAGCAGCAGGGGACAGGGTGATTGAAGGGTGGGAGTCCATAGTGAACGCAGCGGCAGACGGAGTAGTGGGAAAGAAGGGAAATAGGGGAACGTAGAGAAGTCTTCAAGCAGTACCTGAGTGAGGCGTCTGAGGAGAGTTGGGAAAAGCACAGGGCCAAGAAAAAACAGGTGAAGGGACTTGTTAGATATACTCGCAGCAGTATCTGGTCGTGAGGACCCCAAGGGGATACGTGTTGGGAATTTCGTGTGTTGTAGGGTACCACCGGTGCAGTCACGGGGACCCTTTCGGCGCGGTTGGAGCGATGAGGCTTGCGTGCGTGTTGCACACACCTTCTTTCTTCCTTCTCTCCTTCCACCGCTACCGCCGTCTCTCGCCAATCAAGTTTCCTTCTCTCACTCTCGCTCTAACTCTCTCTCAATCTCTCACACTCGGCCTAACACGGCCGACTACCCAGTGCCCCAAGTAACGCCCAGGACGTGCTTGCTGCACCCCGCGTAGTTTACCTTTCACACTAGTGTGCCGATATCACGGTATCTGCGCGCGGGCGTAACCTTCCGGGGGTCGTGCAATCACGTGCAATCGGTAGACTCCCACAACAACAGACACCATGGAGGGCATCGACCTCTCCGCCCTTAGCGGAGAAGAACTACAGCAAAAAGTGGAGGAGATCGTTCAGCAACGAGTACAAGCCGAACTCGAAGCCAACAGGATCAACGAGGGTGAAGTCACCTACGCCCAACCACCAGCCGTCGACCCAGTCCCACCTACTGGCAACCAGCCATCACCCTCCAGCCAAGGCGAACCAGCCACATTCAGCGACCCCAGCAGTGTCGCACACATCGTGGCGCAAGCGGCCAAGGCGACAGCTGAGGCCATTGCTGAACAACAGGGCTTGCCCGCTCAGGCACGTTACGTGTCAATCCTGGCTCAGAAATCGAACCTTGGCTTGGTAGCGTGAAGAATAAGCAGGACTTATGTTTGATTTTTTTCGTAGTAAGATGATTTAATATTTTCAGGAGGAAGGTGTGCATGATGCGTTGGAATTGGAGGTCGAGGTCAAGGTCGGAAAGAGGGGTGTGGATGTAGCAGAGCTTCGGAGACTTTTTGGCAATGATGTGGTAGATTGGTCTTTCAAGCTATGGAATATTCTCATCAGCAAGGTATTGTACCCCCCGATTCAGAGCTTGATTCTGGCGTGTGAGGGTCCACAAAAAGGCTGGAAAATAGTGACAAGAGTTCTGTCAAGAGAGAAGCAGTCAAAAAAGTCGAGGTTGGAGCAGGACTGGAAGGAGTTGGAGATGAGAGAGTCCGAGAGTCCGCAGGATTACATTACCCGCTCAGAGGCCCTTCGCTTACGTCTCGCGTCTGTAGGCACAATGAACGATGAAACAGATGCCAACAAAGACATTGCTCGTGGCCTTCCCTCTTCGTATGTCGTGCAAAAAGGAATACTGCTTGCCCACGATGTCCTGACGTTGCGTACCCTCGAGACTGTGGTGAGGGACGCCCACGGGGA